CTATCAAACTCTTTAAAATTAAAAACAAAGAAAAGAAGGAAGAATATATATCAATGTCCACTGTCTGATAACTGGATCAAGAGAGAAGAAGCATGAAGACAGAAAAAGGGGATTCCCATTTACACTCAAGCATCATGCAGGTAAACCTCAACTTACAACAGCAGTAAAAATAAGTGACTCGTGACCGTTTTTCACACTTACGACCATGGCAGCTTCCCCAGGGTCATTGGTCACGTGATCAACATTCAGAGGCTTGGCAGCTGGTTCATATTTATAATTGTTGCTGTGTCCTGGGGTCATTGCTTTGGCAAGCAAAGTCAACGTGGAAACCGGGTTCCCTTCACAACCGTGTTACTAACTTAACAACTGGAGTGATTCACTTAACAAGTGTGGCAAGTGTTAAGTCCAGACACGAAAAGAGAGGCAGGACGATCGTAGTCAAGTAAAACAACCGTTTATTGCAGGCAACAGGGAACAACAACAAACTAACTCACGAACTGAGAACTGCCCGAGGTTGCAGCTCCTTTTATCGGGAGCTGTCCAGCCTGTCAGCCACTGATGCTTGTTCATTTTCCCACCCGTGGGAAAACGAACCAATGAATGAAGGCTGATGTAAGACTTACTCCTACTTGCATATTCAACAGCAAGAAAAGTTGTAAAATGGGGCAAAAATCACTTAACAAATGTCTCACTTAGCAACAGAAATGTTGGGGCTCAATTGTGGTCATAAGTCAAGGACTCCCTGTAGAAATGTTCTCCAGCCAGCTGCTTTTTCAGCCCTATTTCCATTGAGGATGCTTCTTATCCTGAGCCCCCTTATGTTTCTTTCTCTATCCCGATAGCATCCAAGGCCAGGCTCCGATCTCCACAAGCGTGTTAGGTTTTGTCACCCATTTTCTGGGAATTTCAGGGAAGGGCACAGAAGAAGGACCCTAGAACAAGATGCCAGGCTAATTTTCTGCAAATCCGAGGATGGATGGAGGGCATCTCGCTCACTTCTCTCCTCTTGAAAACTCTTGCAGCCACAAGTTGCGAGGTATCACATCAAATATGCTTCAGTAATTATTTTTGGCTTACGGCCAGCAGTGCGTGCACTCATTAATTCTTAAATTTGGCTGAGGCAACAATCACAAGAGTTAATTCTGCTGAAAACAGTATTAAATTAATAGCGCTCCAACCTCCCCTCCAGATAATAACAGATAATTGAGGTTGATTTTTTTAAATAGTATGCAGCATAATGGAATCAAGAACACTAATTAAAGAAAATGGAAAGAAAACTGCCGATGAATGGCAGATCTCTCCAAAAGAACAATATCATATATAATGTCTATTTTGCACAAGCCGGAGATAGTATCAAAAACGTATTTTGAGCTTGGAGCTGAAATCTTCAGGAAAATGACTTAACATTAATATTCAAATAATCCTTAACGGGGACCCTTTGTGATTCTTTCCCGCTGAGATTAGTGTAATATTTCAATTAATACAATAATGAGTCTTCATTTTGCTCCACAAGCCTTTTTTTTAAAAAAAAAAAAAAAATTAAACTTCAATGGAATGATTGTAGTTCAAACTGCATTTGAGTTGCCAAAATTTTGCCCTGCGCAAAATGAACGCCGTAATTAAAGTAATTGGGTAATCCATCAGTAGGATTGTTCTTCATATGCTTGAGTGAATCTGAAAGAATCGGGCGGATGATGGGGAAAAGGGGCAGGAAAGGAAAAGGGAAGAAGCATAAGCTCTCCATCTGGGTACCGAAGGGAAGAAAAGGAGGCATTTTGGAGAGATGCAAAATTTAACCAAATTTTGAGAGGCAGCAGGTGGTTGGCGATTGTTTAATGGATCACAATGGGAAAAGTCTTATTGTCGAAGAACCCTTTGGTGCTGGTAATACAACGTGACATTTTCCTCTTATCAACTAGAGACATCCTCATTTAGCAACTGCCTTGTACAATGATCGTTTGCCCTTACAACGATGATGAAAAAGTAACTTTGCAAACAGTTATTATATAAAACAAAGATTTTTTACTTTTTTTCCAACAAGTAAAAGGTTAGGAGCTAACAAGTAAAAATTATAAAGATATTCAGAGTGTGATGGTTTTGCTGTCAAAAACACAGGCCTAACACCCATCTACTGTAGCTTGGAGCCACGCAGTTCGCTTGTCTTCCCCCCTTTTTACTGTTAGCTTTCTATTTTTAAAAGATGGATTCCCACACAAGCTTACACCAGGTCGTGATCCCACAACAGAGGCTGCAACTAGAAGCAACTGCCATTAGCTGTAATGAAACGGTTTTGAACTTTGGTGTATTTATTTTGTAGTACTAGCTTTATAATTAGGCTAGTTAGAGTCTTCCCTCCTTTGAGGTCACCAAGCAAACAGTGACTAAAAATAGAAACTTCGGGCACAAAAATCATGCTTAAAAACCCACTTTACATTTTTTTTTAATGCATTATAACTGCTCTGAAGACCTTTCTTTTGCTTTGCGTTTCTATTTGTAGAGAAAATAGAAACCTCTGGCAAAATCGAGTTGTTATTAATTAAGATTCCTTCGACAGAGACTTGAGTTGGGAGATACCATTCCAGACAAGCAGCACCCATGTATGCTTGTATTGGTGAAAATTAAGGAGGTAGAAAACACAATATATAATATATATATACAAAGGGTGGGACTTCAGTTGTCATGCCATGTCTGCCCACTTCCCTTTGACTTTTTGAGTTTTTCTTCTGCTCCAGAATGAAGAGATAAGCTTTGTGAAATTGAAAGCTTAAAATACTCTTGTGAAGATGTTTTGCATGACTCCAGGAGATCAGTCATTAAACATTTGTACTATTTGCAACTGTCCTATATGCTATGCTATAGCCAGTTTGGTCTGGCGGTTAAGGTACCAGGTTAGAAAGCGGAAGACCACGAGTTCTAGTCCCACCTTAATCACGAAAGCCAGCTGGGGAATTTTGGGCCAATCACCAGGGGACGGCGAGTTCTAATCCCGCTTTAGCCATGAAAGCCAGTTGGGTGATTTTGGGCCAATCACAGGAGAGGGCAGGTTCTAGTCCCGCCTTAGCCATGAAAGCCAATTGGATGACTCTGTGCCAATCACTCTCTCTTTCTCTCAGCCCAAACGACCTCACAAGGTTGTTGTTGTGGGGAAAACAGAAGGAGGGAAGGTGTGTTGAGTATGTTCGCTGCCTTTAGTTATTTGTAAACAATAACTAAGGCAGGATACAAATAAATAAAATATATACTATGGTGCATGTTTCTTGGCATTCTCAGAAAAAGTTTGAAATTGGAATTCGAAATGTAGAGTCTTACCTGGAGTAGGTACCCTACATTCATGCACAGCCAGGTCTCTCAACATCAGCAACTGGATGTGGGAACTCCTAGGAAGCAAGGGTCCACGCTTAAAGTTATTTGGGGTGGGGCCGTAGGAGAAGACAGCATTCGTGGTGACGTATTGGCGTGGGCTTAGAAAGTGTGAGTTGTGAAGCTTCTGAAAGATGCCATGAGTTTTGTTTCTGAAGCTTGTTGAAGGAATGTTAGCATTAAAGTGGCCTTCACACCACACTGTCCTAAAAGCAGCAAAGTGGATTTTCTGAACGGTGTTTTTCTCTGTCCTGTAGGAAAAGAGAGAAAGGCAGGCCCAGACATAATAAAAGCTCAATTGGTGAGACGTTTTCCTCCTTACGACTTACCTTTTCCTAGTGAAAAACTTTCTCAAGGTGTCTGTGCTTATATCTTTTCCGTGCCCCAGAAGAATCAGTATAGTATTTTCTTTTTTCTTTTTCACGAATGTGTCTTGGAAAAATTGTCCTCCCGAAAGGCAATAACGAATGTAAAAGGTGGCTACATTTGATTTAAGATACCTGTGTTAAACTCATCTTTTGTGTTACCCCTCCTCCCGTTTCCTGGGACACACAGAAGTCAGGTCGGTTAGGGAATAAAACGTTTGTCCCACAGAATTCAAAAGAATTTGGTCCGAACGATGTAAATGGCTCTTTCACTTTGGGAAAATGGATCTATAACTTTAGAGGAGTACGAGATTTCGAAATGATGGCCGTGTCAACTCTGGGATGCTTTGATGCCCTTCAGTCAGGGACGCTTGAGGGGGAAAACATGTTTTCATGTCCTGCTATACCACGATGTGACAGCCACATTCACTCTTGGATGCCATCTCTGAAGTCTGGAGAAATTTTAGATAAATTACATATTTCCTATCAGATATGAATAGCAAAGAAGTGTTTTGTTCACCGCAAGGGAGCTTCAGCAAGAGACCATTTTATTAGCCAAGGAACACAAAATCTAAATTCCTAAAATCTAAAATCTAAAGGATGGTTTGTGAGCCATCTGTACAGGTAGTCCTCGACTTACGACCACAATTGGGCCCAGAATTTCCATTGCTAAGTGAGACATCGGTTAACTGAGGTTTTCCCCATTTTACGACTTTTCTTGCCACTGTTGTTAAGTGAATTCACTACACTGGTTCAATTAGTAACCCGGTCGTTAAGCGAATCTGGCTTCCCCATTGACGTTGCTTGTCAGAAGTTTGCAAAAAGGCATCACGTGACACACACCCCCTCCCAGGATTGTAACCGTCATAAATGTGAGTCAGTTGCCAGGCATCTGAATTTGGATCACGTGGCCCTGGGGAGGATGCAATGGTCGTAAGTGTGAAAAACGGTCATAAGTCACTTTTTTTCAGTGCCATTGTAACTTTCAACGGTCACTAAATGGAGTGTTGTAAGTTGAGGACTGCCTGTATCAACAGTACTTGGACCAGTGGCCAGTCATTCACAAGAGCTTCAGCGCAGGAAGACGGGGGTTTCCATTTCTACTTGCAGGCAGGAAACCAGAGGAAGGAATATAGTTGGGTAGAGTCTGGTTCCTTTTGCAGGCAATTGTTTCTCTTTGACCCTCTGAAGCTTCTGAAATCTCTGTGTGAGTTTGAGTTTGGAGAGCTGGAGAACAGGCCTGTTATTCACACGCATCTCTGCCACTTTCTTTAGGAGTGTCCCACGGGGGTTGTTAATGAAGAGACCTTCAAAGTGATTTACTCTCAGTTCTTCCCACAGGGAGGTGAGTCCTTTGAGATAAGTAGTCCTGTTTGCATGTACAACCCCGTTACCTCTCCCTGCTTTGAAATCCAGGGGGGGGGGTGTTGGTGGTCTTGGGAATTCAGTCACTTATGCCTTTTTCATGGGAGGTTGGAAAGATTTCTTGGGCTTTCATTCATGGGTGTCTTCTGTCTTAGCCACAGGCGAGTTGTTCAAGAATATTCTGTATTTGGGTTCAAATGCATTCTTTGTTTTACACTGCTTTCTGTGCCAAATTAGCTTGAAGGGGAGGGAGGAGGAGGGGGAGGAGGAAGGAGGAGGAGGAGGAAGAAGGAGAAGGAGAAGGAGGAGAAGGAGAAGGAGGAGAAAGAGAAGGAGGAGAAGGAGGAGGAGGAGAAGGAGGAGAAGGGGGAGGAGGAAGGAGAAGGAGGAGAAGGAGAAAGGAGGAGGAGGAGGAGGAGGAGGAGGAGGAGGAGGAGGAGGAGGAGGAGGAGGAGAAGGAAATATTCTAATATTCATTCTGGGAAGGTTTAGATGAAGAAATAACTTTTCAACAGGCACTTATAGAATGTGCATCCAAACTTTCAGTGGGCAGAACATTCCAGAGTGGTCCACAGAAAAGACTCGTCCATTGACAGCTGGAATAAGCTGCTGTCATATGACAAAATCTTCCCTGATGATCTATAATGAGAACGACCTTCTGACTTGAATGGTTCAGGGTCTTGTAAGTGGCTTGGTAGCCAATCAGCAGCTGGAGCAGTTGGTACTCATAATGCCCACATTCTGCGCCAGGTTCAGGTGTTCAGGTCAAGGATAAGGGATGAGTTACAGCAACTGAGGTTTGAGGTTAGCAACCCATGAATAGCTAGAGTTAGGCTGATCGTGTTCAGGAAATGATCCGGTTGGTATACCAACTGAAGATGGCCTCAGACTCTCCTAGTCATGGAGACCAAAATGGACTTCAGTAAGAGGGATAAGTCTAGGAGCGCCCCAGATGTTCTTCCTGCTATAACACTCACCAAGGACATGTACATTCTCCAGTTCCTGAACCCAGGAGCCAGATAGGTCTGCATTTTTTTTTTTGCAATTCATTTTATTCTTCTGCATCTTCTATCACTTCACTCAGATTCTGGTTCAGCATTTCTGCTGTTATTGATGTTATGGACAGGTCTAGATGTCCACAAATTGCTTGCTTAATTTAATTACGTGTTATTTATTGATGGCAATTTTGTACCACCCAATCCAATGAGTTTAGGCACTGTATCTTAAAAAAGGAATCCCAGTGGGGAAAATATAAATATCCCATAAAAACATAATTAAACATTTAGTTCCCAAACCCAACAACTTGTCCAGCACACAACCCGTTGAAAAGCAGAGGAAATGATTTAGTGCTCCACAGTTGCCATGATTTGGGATAAGGTCATCAAATGGTATTTTCTGATGTTTGCTTAACCTATGGGCACACCTCCTTCAAGTCTGGTGGCCCTGCACCATCATGTAAAGATGCGTTAACTTCTCCCTGGTCCCACCTGGGCAACCTCCCCCAAAATAAAATCCTTAAAGATGAGCAGTGGTCCATCCTGTACATGGTAACCAGAAACCACAGTTCATTTTGAAAGCTCAGGAAAAATAAATAAGGAAATACATCAAACTCGTCGACATTTCCCTACATTTTCTTAGTACATATAATTCCGAAGTCACAACGGGTAATCTTGCAATCCTGGAGAAGATTTTGGCAAGGATGGATGCATTAATTGGTGATTCTCCTTTAGAGTAATTATCTGTACACCAATATGCAGGTGGAACATCTCTATTTTTAGCTTCTGATTTGTTTTATGCAAGCTAAATAGATCTACATTCTAGGAATGAAGACTAAAAGAATGAGAGCAAAGTATGTTGTATTTAAACATGCATATGCAATAGAATATCAAATTTGAATGTCTTGCATCATAATGACTATAATTATATTTGAGCCATAATTTAAGTTTTGAAAGAAAAGAACTGCAATGAATATTATTATGTTTTGTTTCATTTTTGAAGGGTCTTATTAAGAAAACAGTAGAAATAAAGAAAACCAAAAAAAGGAATAGATATACTTTTATTAGGTTTTAATAGCTTGCTACCAAGATCTTCTACCTACCTTTGACAGGCAAGGTAGTATGAAAAGCAGGAACTGGAAAGGAGGAAAAAAGAGATGCACCTTCAAAAATTAAGCCAGATAATGTAGACACATACATTGTAATGTTGTGACCATCAGTTCTTCTCAAAAAAGTTGAACTATGGACTGTATTGTCCCAAAAAATGTTTTTTTCAAAAGGCAACTGGACTTTCTTTGTTTTTCCTTGAAGATGTTTTGCTTCTGATTCAAGAAGCTTCCTCAGTTCTCATTCCAGCCAGAATTGAAGAAATTTCTTGGATGAGAAGCAAAACGTCTTCAAGGAAAAACCAAGAATGTCCAGTTGCCTCTTGAAAAAGCACCTTTGGGACAACCATGACCTGGATCAGGGGTCTCCAACCTTGGCATCTTTAAGCCTGGAGGACTTCAACTTGACGTCCTCCAGGCTTAAAGTTTCCAAGGTTGGAGACTCCTGACCTGGATGACGGAGAACCTCCATAAACACATGGATTGTATTCATCCATCATTATTCCTCATATCGGATTATTCCTAAATTTTGGGGGCCAAGCAGAGTTGACCCTCCTCTGAAAAGTGAAAGTTAGCTCCCGCGTCTCCTGCAGTTATCAAAACTCATAGCCTCTCGGCAGAGAGAAGCTGACAAATGGTGCTGTGTCTTGCTAAAAAAGAGAGAGAGAGACTCCTTTCTTGTGTGCTCCCTGCTCAGCAGAGTAATAAAGAATTACTCTTTCATTAATAGTCAAGATGCAAGTTGGAGCTTTAAAGGAGGAGAAAAGAAACTCTACAAATCTCTTCTTATCCGGAGCCACCTAATGAGAACTGGCAAAGCTTCGGATGATTCCTTATAATCTCTCCGTGGGGCGATTCTTTCTCTCCCGCAGAATGTTATGTTAGGAGAGGCAGGGAGAAATGCGGAAGCAATCGAAATGTGTCGCTCAAAGCCTAAAGTCGATGCAAATGTGTGGTGTCCCACTGATCTCCGTGGGTCTCCCTTTGTTTCGACAGGCAACGTTGCTTTCTTTTTCCTTAAGCGACTTGACAGCTTTCCACCATCAGTAAATAATTTCTGGCTCTTGCACAGATTGGTTCAGTGTGGATAATAAGGCAGCCAACTTGGTTTTTTTGCTTATTATTAGGGCTCCTTCTCGTTCTCTTACTGAAACCTGCCAGCTATCTTTTACTTAAGCAGGAAGTTTTATCAGCTGCAGGTGCTCCAACAATCCCAATGCTGCAATCTTTGGGCTCGTTGGCGCAAGGCGTTCTCCTATATAAATTTCTTTTTCCTGTCTCGTTTTCCTGAACAAATTAGAGTTTAGGCTTTCTCCTGCCTTGTTCTTCTGTACCATCCACTACGTTGTCCTTCTGTCCCGTGCAAATTCGCTGAGATGTTTTCCTGCCAAATTCTGTACAAATTCCCCCGGGACGTTCCTTCCTCCATTTCTCCACCTGAACTGGATGGAAAGCCCTCAAGAAGTGACATAGCCAACATCCGTTTGTGTTTAAGAAATGTTTTTGTGCGGGGTTTGTTTGTTTGTTTTTAAGGTTTTAAAGAAGAGATTGGGCAACCATTTGTCTGAAATGGTATAGCGCAGGGGGTTGGGTTAGAAGACCTCCAAGCTCCCTTCCCACTCTGTTGTCCTCTTCTGTTCGTTTCCCCCATGGTGCATATTCCTAGCATATTTCACGTTAGAAAGAAAAGGATGCATTTTCATGCTATTTGAAAGAATGGCGTTTCCTTTTCATTTTTTAAAAAAAACGTGAGACAACGCCAATAGGCAAAAATCCTGTTCATATTGACTCAGTAGGAAGCCTAATCAAGGCTTCAGCATTGTAGACATTGAAAAACACACAGGAAAAAATGGCCTCCAGCCAGGTTATTCCTCAGAAAATGACAAGGAGCTGGCTGTCCATTCAAGTGGCATAAAGGAGATTTTATTTTTTTTGGTTCCAAGGTGGTAAGCAGCCTGCCTTGACTATCTCAGAACAAAAACACCTCACTTTCCCCTTCAGGTGTAAAACCAAAGTAAGGTTGGATATGGTTAGTTTTTGAAAGAATAAAAACAGGAAATCCAAGGGCTGAATAGACCGGAAGGTTGTTTTTTAATTTTTTTTTAAATGTACTTCCTTATACTTGACAGAAAAATCTCTCCATGATACTAATATAGTCATCCTAAAACTGAAGGACTCTTAGCGTTTTCCCTTATTAGGTACCAAAAACTGTGCCAGATATGGCCAACTGGCCATCTACTCCAGAGGTCTGCAACCTTGGCAACTTTAAGACTTGTGGACTTCAACTCCCAGAGTTCCTCAGCCAGCAAAGCTGGCTGAGGAACTCTGGGAATTGAAGTCCACAAGTCTTAAAAGTTGCCAAGGTTGGAGACCCCTGATCTAGTCCACCATTTTTTTCCCCTGCAATGGTCAACATTTGCCTTGCAGAGCTGCCTGAGGAACTCTGGGAGTTGAAGTCCACAAGTCTTAAAAGTTGCCAAGGTTGGAGACCCCTGATCTAGTCCACCATTTTTTTTCCTGCAATGGTCAACATTTGCCTTGGAGGAAGGCCGACCGATAGTCTAGATTCTATTCTGTGGTGATCCAGCAGGGATCACTTCATGACTAATAACAAATCCCATCTTGTCATGCACGGTTTTTCACTCAGGACTGAAAGGCTAACCAGGCTGGTGTTGAGAAACGATTTCCTGGCTTTTATGAGTCAAAGCAAGAGAGATGGGATTATCCAAACAACAACAACAATTTACAACAAAGTCATGAAAACAGAAGATCAAATTAAAGCAGCTCGGGCATCATCTCTCTGGGTCATTTTGAGTGCTGAATGAATTGAGGATGCTGCTCACGGTATCCTCGTTGGTTTTTTAAAAAAGTGTAATTAGGACAAGCCCTTTCCCCCTCAGGAACAGGACAAATCTTTCAGGAGACGTTTTCTTGTACAGAGAAAACTTTTTGTTATGTAGAATAATCGGGGGGCAATCACAGAGTTAAAAATAGCAATAACACTTAAGACTTATATTCTACTTTATAGTGCTTTACAGGCCTCTCTGAGCAATTTACAGAGCCAACTTCTTGCCCCCAACAATCCAGGTCCTCCTTTTTCTGACTTTGGAAAGGCTGCGTCAACCTTGAGCAGGTGAGGCTCAAACTGCTGGCACTGGGCAGAGTTTGCCTGCAATACTGCACTCTAACCACTGCGCCACCACTGCAAGCCAAGAATTCCTCTGCTTAAAAGCCATAATAATAATAATAATAATAATAATAATAATAATAATAATAATAATAACAACAACAACAACAACAACAACAACAACAACAACAACAACTTTATTGCCATTGTATGTGTATACACAGTACATATATACATATGTACATATACCCATACAACGAAATTCACTTAACACACAAAGACCAGGTCCAACACACGACAATCCCCAAACACACCCCCACCCACCACAAATTCCCCACCCCTAAACCACCATAGCTGCCACCTTGACTTGTTTGACCCGTCCTGCAAAACTAGAGGCCCTTACTGGATGAAGATTTAATCCAACCTTCTCAACTTTGCATCAGACTTCAGCTAACGCTACCCAAATTAGGCCATGAGACCCATTAAGACTGAGCTACTCAAACAGTGGAGCAGGACTCCCACCAGGGCCATGAAGATCTTGGGGGGAAAAAGTTCTATATTAAACAAAAAAAGAAAACTAGGAAAGCAAACCAGAAAGTCAAAACTTTCTGCTACTTCTCTGTTTGCCTTGAAAGTTGGGGCTGGTGTTGTCCTGTCAAAAAAAACCCCATGATCCTTAGGGGCGTGGTGGCTGACATCGTTAGGACGCTGGGTTGGATGTTAGCAAGCTCACGTTCGAGACCCAAGTGCTGCTGCATGGCGGGGTGAGCTCCCGTCATTTGCTCCAGCTCCTTGACGGGGGCATGAAAGGAGCCCCCACAGGTGTCCCCCAGCTAATGGTGATTCACCAGCTCATCCTTTCAACCCAGTGGTGAAATCCAATTTTTTTTTACTACCGGTTCTGTGGGCATGGCTTGGTGTGGTGTGGCTTGGTGGGCATGGCAGGTGAAGGATACTGCAAAATCCCCATTCCTTCCCCACTCCAGGGGAAGGATACTGCAAAATCTCCATTCCCACCCCACTCTGGGGCTAGCCAGAGGTGGTATTTGCTGGTTCCCCAAACTACTCAAAATTTCCGCTACTGGTTCTCCAGAACCTGTCAGAACCTGCTGGATTTCACCTCTGTTTTAACCCCGAAGCACCTTAAATGACACTGGATGGGACAGGGGAATGATTCTTGGCACAACCACACAAATGCACACTTCCTAAGGAACAAAAATAAGGCTGCCGAAATCATTTTGATTCCCTCTTTTTGCCTAAAATTCCAACACCAGGGTATAGCTTTACAGTATAAATTCTATTTCCCCCTCCTCTTCAAGTTGTCCAAAAACCTCCAGAGCAAAGCTGCAACTTAATGGCTGGTAGTTTTAACCTCTGTTCTCTAGTTCTTTTCCTTATTTATTTATCCTGGTCAGGTGTCCACTGCCTTTTACAATACCTGCGACCTGCTGGGCTGGGCTGTTAAATATGGACGTTAATAATATTGTAAAAATAAAGTATTTCGGTTTGCTTGGTCTGACTCTCATGAAGACCCCGAGGCTGTTTATTCCTTCAGCTTTACAGAATTTTAATTGCGCAAATACCGATCAGCTCCAATCACTCGGATTCAGACCGTTAAGTCAGTTTGAGTCGGAAAAAGTGCATAGCGGCTTTGGAACGAATGAAAGGGGCATTCAGCCTGATTGGAGGATTAAATGTGAATCAGAGATGCCATTTGGAAACCGATTCCATCCAACGGGGTTTTGAAATCCGACAGCTCCAGCATCACTGTCACTAAGAATGAGGAAGATTGTATTTGGTGATCCAATCCAAGTTTGCAGGCTCATATTCCAGTGTTGTAAGGGAAGCCCTATTAAATAGGACTCATCCAAAGATGAAGAAGATCCTGCGTCGGCCTGGTTTTAATTGTAATTATCTTTTTTTTATTATTATTTTCTTGGATGTTTTGCTGAGTAAAGGCTGAGACGATCAAATCTACTAGGGGAAGAGAAGATTGCATGAAGGATCTGCTTCAGATTATTTTTATTAAGGGCTTGGGGAGAGCAATCTGATCAGTAGCCTGATTTTGTTTTGTTTTTTTAAAAAAAGGCATTTTAATATTTTGTTTTCATTTGAGATCAGATATAAATAGGAGAGAGAAGGTCAGCATCCAATATCCAGCTAGGGAAATGTTTAACTCTCAAAGGTGGACAAGAGATCTGGGACTTAGCTGGGCAGGCAGAGGGGTGGCTGGAGAAAGGGGCGTGGCCCAGGTGGTGTCCGATGAGACAGGTGAGCCCCACCTGGCCACAAGAATTCATGCGCGACCTTAGTTTCCTTCTTGGAGCTTCTTCTGAAGAACCCTTCTGCAAAACACAGGGCCCTGTTGATTACTGAATCAGGACAGATAGTCCTCGACTTATGACCACAATCGAGCAACAAATTTGTGTTGCTAAGAGAGACGTTCGTCCAGTGAGTTCTGCCCCATTTTACAGCCTTTCTTGGCACAGTTGTTCAGTGAATCACTGCAGTTATTAAGTTAGTCACACGGTTCTTAAGAGAATCTGGCTTCCTCCATTGACTCTGTTTGTCAGGAGGTCGCAAAAGGGGACCACTGTAATTGTCGTAAATATGAGTCGGTGGCCAAGGGTCTGAATTTTGATCACGTGACCATGGGGATGCCGCAACGGTCGTAAGGGTGAAAAACGGTCATGTCGCTTTTTTTTTCAGTGCCATTGTGACTTTGAATGGTTACTTAAATGAACTAGATTCACAAGATCATGTACCACTTTACAAAGCCTTAGTAAGGCCACACTTGGAATACCACATCCAGTTTTGGCCACCACAATACAAAAAAGGTGTTGAGACTCTGGAAAGAGTGCAGAGAAGAGCAACAGCTGGAGGCTAAAACATACTTTGAACGGCTGCAGGAACTGGGCCTGGCTAGTCTAGTGAAGAGAAGGACCAGGGGAGACAGGATAGCAGTCTTCCAATATTTGAGGGGCTGCCCCAGAGAGGAGGAAGGGGGCCAAGCTATTTTCCAAGGTACCCGAAGGCCAGACAAGGAACAATGGATAGAAACTGAACAAGGAGAGATTCCACCTGGAAATAAGGAGAAATTTCTGACAGGGAGAGCAATCAACCCATGGAACAGAAGTTGCCTTCAGAAGTTGTGGGAGCTTCATCCCTGGAGGCTTTCAAGAAGTCACTGGACAACCATTTGTCTGGTATGGTATAGGGTCTTCTGTTTGAGCAGGGGTTGGACTAGAAGACCTCCGAGGTCCCTTCCAACTCTATTATTCTATGTTCTATCTAAAACATGATACAACCTTGATGAAGGTTAGGAAGAAGCTCAAAAGTTGCCCATATAAGCTTCAGAGGGCAATTTGGAGTGGCGGCATATATCTTTTTTGATAGCTAGGTAGGAAGGAAGTTTGATTGAGCCAACAAGAGTATTAAAGTTGACTGAATTCAATGGGAAATTTAACCATTTTTATTTCGCTAATTAGGAGCAATGCCTCTTGTCTAGGCCCTGAATGGCACTTCTTATAACAATTTGATGGGTCTTCAAACAGCTGTGTGCTTTAAAAATGACAGTGGCATTGTCATCCTTCCGAATTTGAATCCTGAAATAACCACCTGGAATAGTAGATATGAAGCACAGAATAACATGTGCAAATGTACCCATGTGTGGTTTGCTCCAATCATTCCATTGACGTGACTTGGTTTCTAGTCTCCAATGTAAATGGAGTCTCTAGTGTGTAATTTAGTTAATTTCCCAGTTCCATAAATAATAACTGGATTTTTAACGCCATCTATGATATCTGTGGTTGGGATCATGTAAAGTATAAGAAGGATGAGAACTTTTTATCAGCAATTGCTTAACAATAATCAAATAATGGCTTAACCTCCCTCCCTCTCAATTAATAAGAATAATAGAGGTAAGGAAAAGATAGAATGTGGTTATTCAAAGTGTTAAGTTTTAATATGCAATTAATAAGGATCAATCTTTTTAATTCCAGATTCTACAACATATGCACATTTTCTGTTCAATGCATTTGACACAGATCACAATGGATGTGTGAGTTTTGAGGTAAGGCAGGTTTTTAAAAATTATTTATTTCTGTTCTATAATGCAGTCCAAAGTCTTGTTAAAAGGTTATATGCTTTCCATGTTGGTCGTAAGCAAGTATAATAGGTGAACTTAATTCTTACTACTGATATATTAGTAGTATTAATATTATTATTAAATAACTTGAAAAAATGCAAGTGCCGATTTTCTAGTTCTCCACACCTCATTCCTCTATCTAGTCAACATTCTCCTTTAATCCCTTCTCCGATCGATATTCCCTCAACAGAAGAGTGATGGAAAGCATTTTAATACAATCAGAAAACATTTAATAAGTGAAAGAAAAGAGGGCCTGATTTTAATCAATCACGTATTTAAGTTTCATTATCTCCCAATTAACATCTTCCCTCTGTATATTCCTTCTTGTTTTAAGAGAAGGAAATTGTTTCTCCTAAGCTCTTAAAGGTTATACTCATCGAAAAACTTTTTGGCCTTCTCCAATTCAAAATACTCCACTAGGAAGAGGTGATTAATGAATGTTTTTACTAATGTTTACTAAGGCAGTGAGTGCCTGGGTCGGAGAGTCGTGGAGGTAACCAAATATATTTACAGGCCAACTGTAAACTGCTGATTTAAATCACCGTAGTAAATGCAGAGAAGTGGAGTAGTTAAGTTATTGGACCAAGACCAAAGAGGAAAAAGTTCAAGTCTACTATCAGCTATGGAAGCTGGCTTGATGACTCTGGAATTGTCACATCCTCTGCACATCTTAATTTATGTACTTATATATTATTTATAAATAATGCACACACAGTGACTCTGGCATCCTGACCCAGGGGAGGGCTGCTATGGAAATAAAATCAGGGATGAACGTCGGGAAAGCTGCCTTAAAGACCTGGGGAAAAAGACAGACACACTGAGGAAGCAAACAGTATGATCAAGATAAAAATGGAAAGCCTTCAAAAGTTGGTAAAACATTTGAATGCATCACGAGGTCTTAGTCAGTATTTGCACATTCATTGTTTACACTTCTTTATGAATGTAGAAACGGAGTAGTCTGCAGATGATTAAATACGCCTTTATTTATTTATTCATGAAGTAGTTCATATGTATTTAAAGACAAGACAGATGAGCCCCCGGAGGGGTTTTGCTAATATGTTAAAAATTCCAATTCTCCATCGTTATCTTACATTCTGGGTAATTCCTGCAGTGATCGCCCGCTGCCTGAAATAACAGTTTTAAATACTCACCCGATCTCTTCACTGAACTCAATGGGACTGAGAAATGCCCAGCATGGATAAACTATTTCTTAGTCAGGTCTGTTTATTATGTAACGTTCTGCTTTTCCTTTAAGAAGCTCAGAACAAGCTCTCTATTCTAGCTAGGCTTATTTCTGTCTGTACGGTTCACATTTTTCGTTCCTCACCCCAAAACATATACTAAAGAAGAAGACTATTTAAAAGGCCTACAGAGCAGTAACCTTTAAGTTAATGGGATTTTACCTTTCACGAGATAGTATTCATAGGTAACTGAGTTATGCCAGTGACTTCAGTGTTCAGTAAAAGATAAGGCTGTGCTGAAATCATCTGAAGAGAGGAATAATAATTAACAATGTAAATTACAGATATCGGGTCGACAGCTGTCTTTGATTAACTCTGAGCTCCTCAATTTTGGCATGACCTCGGTTGAGGAGCTCCTGACAAGACGCTCTACGCAGGCCCATCTGTGCTCCAAAATCACATTTGGTCTCATCAATCTGGATCACCGCCCAGGCTTAATACGAATCGTGTTTGCAATAAAAATTTATTCTGAGAAATCAGCGCAGTCTGGTGGGAGGACAAATAAAATCCCCCAAAATGCTGGGAAATGCTTGTCCAGATACACGGGTGTTTGAAGAGAGAGAGAGAGAGAGAGAGAAAAGAATGACCTTTTATTTGGTCTTTGTAATTAGCTTTTGTTTGCTGTGTAACAGTTGAGTAACTTCCTGATCTTGTTTAATGTGCTGATTGCATTGATTTTCTGGGGTACCTCCTAGGAAGAAGCTGCCACCCTCCTGGCACAAAACGTTTAATACGGCTTTGAATTAATTGAAGTCGGTGTTTGTACGCTAAGGCAACAGGGCAGGAAAAAGGCATCTAATCAGCTGAATTATCCGCTTTCTCTCAGACCCACATTAAAGCAAGTAAACCCAGAGTGGCTTCTACTTTAATAAAAAAAAAAACTGTTGCCTTCGGTGACACAATAACACAATAACAAAAACAATTATTCATGAAATGGAAGCTGGGTGGATCCATAGCTTGGGATAGTGCAGTTTGTAAAACTACTGGCTTCACTGCTCAGTGGAGTTGAGTGATAAATAGTATATACTGAGTATATCCTGAGCCGAGGTGGCGCAGTGGTTAGAGTGCAGTACTGCAGGCTACTTCAGCTGACTGCTAGCTGCAGTTCGGCAGTTCGGCAGTTCGAATCTTACCAGGCTCAAAGTTGACTCAGCCTTCCGTCCTTCCAAGGTGGGTAAAATGAGGACCCAGACTGTTGGGGACAAGAGGCTGGCTCTGTAAACAGCTTGAGAGGGGCTGTAAAAGCACTGTGAAGCGTGACTAGGTCTTAAGTGTAGCGCTATTGCTATACCAATAAAGGAGAATATTCATAGCTCAGGGTTGACATGAGGGGTCCTTGGTGCTCTGAGATTGGTGGTTTTCTGGCAGACGTTTCATGACCCAAGCTAGTAGGGAGTGGGGTTTGCTCTCAGTTTATATTCTAGTGGCCTGCCCTAATTAAATAGGATATACTCTGGCTTTCATTCGATTGACGTGGAATACTTTCGTTTTCTGATTACGGCAACACGAAAGAGCCAAGTGGTTAATGTAAAGATTCCATAGAGTTTTGCAAGAGGTTGTCACCTTCCAAGTTTTTCTGCTTCCATGAAGCTAAGAAGGAAAGTAACAGAGGCTGTCCTGAAGACTCAGACATCACATGACAGACTTGTCATTCAATCAAACAGCTGGGTTGATTTTGTTGTTCCCGCTGCCAAAGTGCAGCTCTTCCTGCCATGTTAACCTAAACCGCCATGTTTTCCATTGTCTCTTCTTCTTCTTCTTCTTCTTCTTCCTCCTCTTCTTCTCCTTCTCCTTCTCCTTCTTCTAGGATTTCGTGATGGGCCTTTCAATTTTGCTCCGTGGGACCGTGCAGGAAAAACTCAACTGGGCTTTCAATTTGTACGATATAAACAAAGACGGCTGTATAACAAAAGAGGTAAGGAGTCCAACACAAAGCTAACTAGACACTCCCCCCCACCCCACATATATAGATAAATCATGATCTCTAGATTCATAAGTGGGGAACAAGATGTATATGATATTGGAACAATTCCATCTAGATATATGATTTTTTTTTTTAAATGCTGCTCAGTTGGGATGGTTTCCTACATTTTCATGCCCTTGTGGACAATATCAAGCTCTTCCTAAATGGGACTGACTTTTTTCTGGCCACAAAGTTTGTATGTTGCTAATTTTATGCATTTATGCGGCAGTCATTGTAGCAAGGCTGTAAACAACTGATCTTGTTTGACAGATAAAACTGTAAGATTAATTTTATTTATACATTCTTAGGCTCCCGTGTCTCCTACAAGGTGACTCTGGGAGGCTTCCCAGAATCGGATGCTTATGGATTCTGCTGAAATTGCACGGACCCCCCTGCTTTAAAAACAAACCACTGAATTGGCTGATCTTGAGAAGAGCCTTTCCTGACCAGAATCACAGAGTTGGAAGGGACCTCGGAGGTGGTCTAGTCCAACCCCCTGCTCGGGCAGGAAGCCCTATGCCATGTCAGACTTCTAGGTCTTCCTCACGACCGTTTCTCAAGATAGCCACAGAAAGGCTCCAATGAGATGTTGGAGAGAGAGGGACTTTTAGGTGACTAGAAGACCTCCAAGCTCCCTTCCAACTCTGGTTACTCTGTTCATCGATCATGAGAAAAAGATCTATTATGTTCTGTTAAACACAGAAAAATCCGCTTTATCCTTAGAGGTCACCGAATTGCTTTAAAACGAAGGTCTACATTTGGGAATTTGGATCCCACTGTGAAAAGTCATCTCCTTGCCGGATTTTAGAGAGCTCCAAAGAGGTCAGAAATTTTCCATCAACGCAATGAGTATTTTTCATCGGTTTAATATGTTTCTCACCAGGAAATGCTTGATATCATGAAGGCCATCTATGATATGATGGGGAAATGCACTTACCCTGTTCTTCGAGACGATGCTCCAAAACAACACGTGGAAACATTTTTCCAGGTGGGATTTACCTAAACCCTCTAGGAAAAACTCAGGAAAATTCCTGTGATGGTTTGCATTCTGAGGGTTGTGAAATTTGCTATTATTATGTTATTTGTAAAGATGAATCAGCTACTCGCATCCAAGGTCTACTTAGACATTAATTTATGAATGATTTAAAGTTACTTCAATGAAAAGTAAAAGTCTCGTGCTAGACTTTTATTTTTCTTGCATGTATCACCTTCCAAATATGTCTAAAATAAGGAAACAAAGTAAAATAAAATCAAGAACAGAAGCTAACTGTGGAACCAGGAATGCCACTCTTAGTGGAATTTTAGCATCCACAGATACGTCTTTAAAAAAATTGACCAGAAGCATCTGGGAAAAAAGAGTTTGAAATCACTTATGCAACCGTTTTATTTCTGGCAGAAAATGGACAAGAACAAGGATGGTGTAGTTACCATAGATGAATTCATTGAAAGCTGTCAAAAAGTAAGTGGTCTAAGGGTGAGGGACTTGTAGCGCCATGAGGAAGCATTGAAGCTTTGCACAAACACTTGCTCTACTCTTGACTTGTTCCCAACAAATGACTGTCCAGCCCCTGCATGAAGATGGGAGGGACTGCCCCCCTCCCCGCTTGTGAATTTTGTCACACATTTTATTAGCATTTTTAGCTTCTGAAGGATAATGGGTGGGCGATGCAGGGGTAACATCTGGGGAAAGTAGATGAAATTTATGCCCCAGATCTTCCAAACTTTAGCTTTGCTTTCTTGAGTTTAATATGCAAAAAGAACAGAGAACAGAATAATTGGAATTTGCTATTTTGCTGCTCAGTTTCAGAGATTCTTGGAGATTTTAGGGAACACAAACATCTTTCTGGAATGCAAAGGGTCTGCCTGTTTTAGGGGATGACTCATGCCGCCGTTTAGATATTTCTATTTTCATTAGTACGGTTGATCAGTCGATACTTAAATATTACGCCAGATCTTGTTTGCTCCCAAGTTCCGCCTCTTAATGGCAAGCGCTACCAACCCTATTAATGGGAAGCAAGACATTTGAATGCACAAGGGCATATTCCCACGACTGGGGGAGCAAACTGAAACTGCTTGCACAACCCACTGCTGATGACCTGGGGGCCTTGATGCTCCCCTTGTGGAACAAGATGAAGAAGAACATTCATCTGTATCTCCAGAGACCAACAGGAGGCTTGCTGAGGTGCTGCGGGGGCCGTCAAAGAATCAAAAGATGGACCTTGAATGACAGCCTGTGGTTCTGATTCGGCTATATTTGACTTTGGAAGACTACCCAGATGAGATACAGCTGACTAGCTGGTTGACAGTAGGTAGATGATGGATGGATAGTCAGACAGAGAGATGATAGTTAGATAGTCAGATAGATGGAGATGATAGAGTAGTAACATCTTAAAAGAGACATTCACTATATCCATAACTGTATGTTGGTGTTGTTAAGAATTTGGTGTCAAATATCTTTTCCTAATAATTAGAGTTTTTATGTGGTTTTTTCTTCTTTGTAGGATGAAAACATAATGCGTTCCATGCAACTCTTTGAAAATGTAATTTAACCTCCAGCCGCTCTCCCTTCAATCAGTGGACAATACGAACAATTCTGTAGCAACACAGATAGAAGCGTTGCCACGTAGGAATCAGAATTGTCAGCTTTGCACTGAGATGTCTATAATGCAAATAAGCTTTGTTTAATTAAAGCCCACCTTCGGAGACTGTATTTTTCCACTAGTTTGAGGTAAAGCGAAGTCATTCAACAATGCTCTCGTAGTCGTTTTTAAAATGTCATTTGAGTCATAGAACAATCCAAAGAAAACAGCAATAGGGAAACTGCATTCTTGCCGTTCCAACTTCCACAGCGAAGGTCTTGGAGTGATGGGGGGGGGGGGGGGGGGGGAGGCAAGCTTTTTTGTTAGACAACTTTCCATGATATCAGGTCTGAATTCCACAGTCCCTTATTGTGTGAAGCTCATCCTACATAATTCTCAACTTGAGGGGCACTTTTGGCAATTACATTTTAAGGGGGAATCCATCCTGCAGCCTGTTAGCGGTCTCAGATGCTGGCTTCCTATTGAGTCATTGTGGGAATGGGACAACCTAAATAGCTTCCAGGCTCTCCCCGTGGGTAGAAAAAAAATTCCTTCAGTCTCCATAAGGGACTGGCACACAAGAGTTTTCCTTAGTTTCGCCTGAGAGGAATATCAGATTCCTTAATACTACTCTTTTCAATTCAAGATCTACACTTTTTATAACAGCTTTTCTTGTGCAAAAAACAAAAAAAAATGTATTATTTAACCACTGCCTATGATAAATTTATTCCGTTGACAAATTTACTGATATAGTGAACACCCAGGAGGTAGTTTAGATAAAAGTTTGGGCTTCCCAATCAAAGGTGAAAATTAATGGATACGGCCAGTTTTTGATTGGAATAAAGATGGAAGTCAAAGTAAAGACTGATGGGGAACCAGTAAGAGAGGTTCATTCATGGTCCCAGTATGTGACTGCTCAAAATATGGACCAGGACACAATTATGACAATCAAGCCTCATTTATAAGAAGGATTTTTCTTCTCTGGTATCAAAACTGAACTAAGATTCGAAGTTTATTAGCATGTCTACTTAGAAGGAGCTGTAGATTTTTCAGGAGCTACAATTACTATTATTCACAAGGTGAAAAGCAGACAGAGAGAGTGTTCTGTGAATGACAGAAAACTAGCAGAAAAATGATTTGAATAGAGAGTAAATTTGCCACAGCCACAGGGAAAAATACAAGTGCACAGTATCTAAGTTGAGAGAGGTAGAAGTTGGCATTCCCCCCTCTTTTTGTTTTCCTTTTAAAAAAAAAAAAAACCTATAAAGGGAGAGACAGAACAGACTCTAGCCAACAAAAAAAAAACCTCCCTATTTCTCATGATAGTCAAAATAATATTAAATTACTGTCTGGCTAGAAGCTTATAAGTACTGATAGAAGACATATGCCAGCATTAATCGTGACATTTTGCACTGAAGTTCCAGAAAGCTTATAGATGTACAAAAATGCTGCAAACTGTTGTATTTTTTTTTCTTTCTATTTTTAATAATGGCATCTAATCTGGTGCAAGATGGCTTAGAGAGTCAAGCTACTCTTATGACTGCCACTGTAGAAATACGAGTAGTACAATAAATGTACATCTAAACTTTGTTGTAGAATGTCCATGAGAATTAAATGTGCACATTTTATAATAAAAATGAAGACACGGAAGGCGTGGGTTTCTTTTTTTTTTTTTTAGCGGACTGTACCTGTGTGTTTGTTATATAAAGATTAATACTTGGGGATTGTGCTGCAATTAACTATTTTTATTTAATACTCATGAAAATCTTTGTGTTTGATGGAGACATAAAGTAGTCTGAGCACATTGACCCTGGAAAAAAGACTTCTGTCCCAAAAGAGCAAACTATGTATATTTTCCAATCCAGAACCTACAAAATAGTGGGTTCTTTAAGAACACTATCAAAATGAAACCACCTCTTATCAACAAATATATTAACTGAGAAACAATCCCTTCCAGCTTTAGCGATTTCAGGTCCTTTTAAGACCTTCTTAACCAGCAGTGGAAAAGGTCCTTAGCGCCTTCGTGCAGCAGCATCTGAATTTAGTAAAAATCAAGATGCACAGAGGTTTTAGGTAAGGGTTGAGCCTAGCAAGTAAAGGGTGCACAATTTTAAAAAATTAATAATAATAATTACGGTTTCATAATAATTTTAACAAACCAACAAACCCTTTAGTCCCCAGAAAAAGGGACTAAAGCAAAGATGGTGCCATTCCTAAGCCTTTTTCATAATTAAGTATCCAGGACACTTTTATTCTTGACACTCGTCTTAATTTAAAATATTAATCGCTTCTTTCCCTGAAAGATCACAGAACAAAATGCACTCTAGAAAAATAAGTAACACCAACACAGTTGCAAGAGAAGCCTCTTCATCGCGTTCTTTAGGAAGAAATTGAAGAATAGGTCGGAATCTTTGCCTTTATAATAGTCAGGCTTTCCTGTTCATAAAATAGGAATTGAAAAATAGGTTTGTATTGAAGTCAGTTTCCCTCTTCACTTGAAAACAAATTATTTCTACTTTGGCCAATCTGTTGTGGGACATGGACTGGGAACCTCTAGAAGGAATCCAAGCTTTAACACTAACTGTTCCAGCTATCAGTCTAGAAGGAAGAAATAAGAATAAACCAATGTTACGCCATATACAGGCAGTCCTCAGCCAATGTCGGCAATCGGGACTGGGATTTCTGTCGCTAAGGATGCAGTCATGAAGCCTGACATCACGTGATCTTGGCAGTGGCAATCCCAGCCCTCCTCGTTGCCGTTATTAAGCGAGGATCGTATGTCATTAAGCAAGCAGCCCCTTGCAACTTTCTGCCAGCTTCCAACAATCAATGGGGAAGCTGGAAGGAAGTTGCAAATTGTAGGAAATTTGCAAGAATGCCAGCAGGCAGGTAAGGGGCGGCTCCCAGGTGTGGGAAGGAGGGGCGCATGAGTGGCGGGGGAGGCATGGCGTGAGTGTAGTGGCATTTGGTGGATGCTGGCAGATGGGGAAGGGTGTGTGTGTGTGTGTGTGTGTGTGTGTGTGGTTTGTGAAAGGCTGGGGAGGTGCAGGGTGGCTGCTGAAGGATGGGAGAGGATGCAGAAGTGGCAAGGAGTAGCTACTCCAGGAAGGGCACATCCGTTCATGCTTGGTTGGCAACAGAAGAAACAAGGTGGGAAACTTCAACTGGGGTATGGGGTTGCAGGAGGCCAAAAGGCCTTGGATGGGGGGAGGGGAAGATGGGGGGTGGGAGATGAAGCAACTTTGGCTGTAAGTGCAGGTTGGTTGCCAGGGACCTGGGTTTTTCATCACTGTGGCATTTTGGTGTCTGTAACCTTCAAGTTCTGGTTGTAAGTCCCTTTGTTCAACACTACCATAACTTCAAATCAATGCCCATAACTTGAAGAGTAGTTGGGAGGCCGGGCAAGAGGTTAGCAAGCCCGCGTTCGAGACCCGAGAGCTGCCGTGGGGCGGGGTTGAGCTCCTGTCCTTCGCTCCAGCTCCTGCCAGGGACATAAAAGGAGCCCCCCCCTCCAAACTGGGCGTCCCCAGGGAAACGATGTCACTGGCTAATCCTTTCGACCCTTAAGCTCCTCGGTGCTTCTGACACGAAGGCAAAAAACTCAAAGAGTCCCTGCATTCAATCATCGGCTCGAGAATTCCGATGAGTGCACACTACATGAAATTGCTGAGAATTGCTGACAGGGAGAACAGCTTTTTTGTCTCAGGGGAAACTCCATCGCCTAGTTTCCCTCACCTTTAATCTGTGGCAATGGTGGATGCCCACTTATTAACGATGCCCCTGCAATCAAGAGAAGGACCCCGTTTGCCTCTGCAGCAGAAGTGAGCAGCTCATTTCAGTGGTGAAGGACAGGATTGCAAATATGCGCTAATAAGAATGTAAGATCGGCAAAAGCTTATGGAATGGCCCAATCCTGCTCTCCTTGATGCTACAGTACCGGCTTCAGACAAAACCCAACCAGACAATGCAGGTAAAAACCAACCGAGGGGATCAACCGATTGCCCTTACTTTTCCGCCGTATTGCTCCAGTTTTTGCAAAGCCTCCATAGTCTGTTCTTTGAACTTCTTGCTCATCTGCCTCTTGGAAAGCTGGGGGGCCAAAATGAAGAGGCAAATAGGACAGTGAGATTTTAAAATGGTCTGAAATGTTGCAACAGGACAGCCTCTTCGCTTAGCAAAAGGCCTTCTCTGACCTAGGCAGGATACAGTTGTGTTACAGTGCAGACAGGCAAGTGCATGTCTCTAGCAGCAGATGTGATTTTTAAACCATGGAATGGAATAAATCAGGAATATTTATTTCAGGAATAAATACACATGGACGGGTTTGTAGATTATAACGGAATATCAGAGTTGGAAGCGACCCTGGAGGTTCTCCAGTCCAACCCACTGCTCAAGGCAGGAGAACCTACAGCAGGGCTGGTCAAACTTACGGCCCACGGGAAGGATGCCTCACGCACTGGCCACGCCCACGCCCGGTTTAGCAAAGGGGGGGAAGTCCCGATACGTCATGTGACACCACCGTGACGATGCGAGTTTGACACCCCTGACCTACACCATTTCAGGCAAATGGCTGACCAAGCTCTTCTTGAAAACCTCCAGTGATGAAGCAGCCACAACGTCCGTAGGCAGCTCATTCCACTGATTAATTGTTCTCACGGTCAGGAAATTTCTCAATTGCAGGTTGCTTCTCTCCTGGATTAGTTTCCCTCCATTGTTTCTTGTTCTGCCCTCTGGCGCTTTGGAGAATAGGTAGACCCTCTATATCAGTGTTTCTCAACCTTGGTAGCTTGAAGATGGGTGGACTTCAACTCCCAGAATCCCCCAGCCAGCGCTGCTGGCTGGGGGATTCTGGGAGTTGAAGGCCACCCATCTTCAAGCTTCCAAGGTTGAGAAACACTGCTCTATATTATAGTAAGCGATGGTTTGAAATCCGAGGGCTTGGATTAACACGCTAAGACTAAGGAAATGACATTAGGGCTGAAGGTGAGGAGCAAATCCAGTTAATGCATCTTAAACACCCTGACCTGCAGCACCTTCTTATTCCAATTTCCAAAGGAATTTTAATCTTTTAATATACCCCCTGTTAACAGGGCCAAAGAGCCACGGAAATGCTGTCCATTAGTAGGATGGCTTTTACGATACAGTTCCTCCCTTGCCGCAAACCAGGGAAACTTAGAACCAAGTTATAAGCAGGAATTCTGGTAAACTGGGATTAAGCATTAAACTGGGATTATACTCACACTAGAAAGGAGATGCTTCAGGTGGCTGTTAAGCCAAAAGCCAACCACAGCACTCAACTGGACCAAAGCATTCAGTCCTCTTCTAAAGACTTCATCGTCTGAATGGGCCTTTTAGAAGTAGAAGAAACGGAATAAACACACATTCACGTGGTTTAAGAATCACTCGCTAAAAAAGCAGAGGGGTGAGCTGTACAAGCAGCCTCCAACCCCTCAAAAAATAATAATAACAATAATAATAATTAGGTGGGATCCAGAGAAGAAGGTCCAGAACAAAATTGCATTACTTTAGTGTAACTGAGAAATGCATTCAGTGAATCCTGCTAATGTGACAATCCTCTTAAGTAAGTCATATAAAAATATTGCAATCGCTGGTGATTTGGAGCCCCTCCATTCTGGGGGCTGCATTCCAGAAGGCTGGGCACCTCACCAAGATCTGGGGAGGCCCAAACTATGCGCCCTCCTCTTCTAAGTAAGAGCTTTTTGACTGCACTAGACAATTCGCTTTAAAGTTTCTCTTCCAGAAGACTGCCACCATTTATATTTAAACAGTATAGAGTGTAAATATATACAGATATAAGGTAGCCTTTATTGTCACTTTTCACTGTGAGCACACTGGCCCACATTAAAAATGAAATTCTGTTGCCTGCTCTCCAAAGAAAGTATATATCTACCCATATATATATACATACATACCGGTAAGTGTGTGTATTTATATATCTATATATTTAGATATATAAATATATTTATATATACAGTATATATACACACACGCATATACACATATAATATATAATATATTATGTATATTATGTATACATAATAACTTGAAAGTTCACAAGGTCGATGTTCTATGGAAGAAAACTGGCTGAACCTGAATGTTTTCTGCTTCGGATACCCCGCAGTGCCCCCTCCCCCCTCAGAAGATGAAGGCGAACAGAATGAAAACAGATCATGAAGAGGATGTGTAGCGTTCCAGACGATACTAATATGTTGCACCTTATATATTTATATAAGTTTACACATTATATGTTTGTACGTCTTTACACGTTTCAATGAAGCACACTTTTTAATATTCACAATCTCAACCCCTGATCGCTTGCCACATCCATTTGGCTCTCGAGGGCTAACAAAGTGAAGCCAACGCATTTCAGTAGCTTTTAAAAAGGTCCCTATTTGATGATAATGCTGTCAAGTTTCCGAAAGATGCCCTAATTAATTCATGAGCCATGAGCCAAACTTCAAAGGAAATACAGTCATTTATTAGGAGCAACATTCCGGCAATACTCAGGTGCAGTTAGGACTGATCCCACGTAGATTTACCTTTCCCTATGACCCTGTCTCTCCCCTCCTCCCTGGCCATGTCATAAATCACATTCTCCAATTAACCACTTTGGCTGGCTGTGAAACCTA